TTCGTTTTTGAAAAAATAGGTAAAATCAACATAAAAGGATCGTGATTATTTTGTAGTCACGAGCCTCGCCCATTAATAAAAATTCGCAATCTACAAGAGGGAGCAGTTCTCCACTTTTCCGTTAAGACAGTGAGTACTGAATTCTTCTTTGTGGTGAGTGATGACAAATTCACTTACAACTGCTTCAGTAGTAACAATAACAAATCACTCAAAAACATGCATATAGTGATATAGTGGTTTCATGGCTGATTGTGATGGTTGCATGGCTGAACGTTGAGTATACGTATGTTTCAGGAATACATTTTTTTGCTTGTTTTTCTTTACCTTGTGGTAATTAATAAAATTTGCGGGTTGGTTGTGATGGAAACAATTCCATCTTTGTTCTTTTTTCATTCCTTTGCAAAATTATTCTAAAAAAAAGAGTTTTTTGTCTAACCGCGTCCCATATTTATCGGGACTTTTAAAGGACGACAACTACAACAAGGCCACAAAGTATATGCAATTATAGAATATTTATAAATAGAAAATATTTCTAGAAATAAAATAATTGAATTTGTTCAATATACTTCCAAACAACACTTAGAAGATTTCGATAAACACCATTGATGGGAATAAAACGTACTGTCATTACATTTAATTAAGTTTGGATTTTATTTATTTTAGCCCAGAAAAGTGAAAACTGCAAGTTTGTTTAGTTAAATTTAGTGCATTAATATGTGCAATGTTTGTAAAATGTTTGCTCTGCTGCCCTATCAGGAAACTTGAATGGCATTTCCGGTTCCACTGTATTTCGAATTCCGCTAGCATGATTTGCGGGGGAAATAGGCTAATTCAGAATTGAGGACAAACTGCGAAACTGCAAACCCTTTCAGTAAACTGACTGTGTAAGAATTTTACATGCAATGTTTCTTGACGTACTTTATACACTCTCATTCCTTCTAAGAGTTCCAAACCTGGGCATTTCTGTATTATGAATTTCTATATTTTTGATTCAAACGAAGACTGTCATGTATTCTAGCGAGTTTAAACTCAATAATCACCTTAACTTAAGTTTAAGTTTAAGTTTGATTCGAATATTTATACAGGATAATACACTTCAACTAAAAAAGTTATTAATGTGTGTCCTGTTATCCTAAAAAGTATAAAAAAGCAAACTGCATCCAAGAGTGTCTTTATTCTTTAACAGTTGGTATGGTGACTGTTTTCTACTACTTTCAATGATATGTCAAGAGAAAATTAATACTAATATAGAAAGCTACAAAGACATGAATAAGTGCAAGACCATTGCTAAGTCACTGTATAAATACGTTGAAAATGCAGCGGGTATATAAAAGCGTCGAAAACCAAAGCTTGATAACCAAAGTTCAGAAGTGAGAACAGAAGACAACGAGAAATCTTAAGAAAAATAAAGTGCAGAGATGAGGACATTGTATTTGTTACTTGCACTTGGTCTGCTGTGTTCAGTGGTATATTCATAACCAGTCGAAGATGATGAACCTTTGGAAAACGAGTTAAAAGAAGGTACTCAGTAATTTTCAAGCAAACTGAAATATTATAGTTATCATAAAATCTTCAGATCTTCTTCATTCTGGAAAATATAAACATTTAGTTACAGCTGAGCTAGAATATTATAACGAAGCATAGCTCGACGGAGCGAGGCGTTCGAATCAATCGGGTTCGTTTGTTTTAAAATTTTTTATTCACTCGGCCAAATTAATATATTATAGCTTCTATATAAAACGAATACCCGACACCAAGGTGACACCAGGGTGAAAATCAGTTCAAAAGATCAGAGAAAAGTCAGCCTACTGCTCAGACTTGAAGTAGTTTGTAAATAAATGTTTACAAACTTTTGTAGAGAATGATGAAAATGCTTTGGAAGGAAACGATGAAGACGACAGCGTGTATGTTTTATAAATTCTTTAAAAAAAACCAGAACCTCTTTGCTTTAGGTTTATTCATGAGAGGGTTATTTCATTAAAAAAAGGCTGGAAGTGGGACTAATTTTCTAACAAAGAAATGTACTTTTAGAATTAAATTTTTGAACGCGAGATATTTTAATTAAAAATGAGAGAATCACTTCAATTTATATCAAAACACACAAATATATGCCAAAACACTTCTCAACAGCGTTTCAATAATTTTAACAAGCACGAATTTATTGACGAATACTCGCGAACACAAATTTATCAGCCCGAATTTATCAAACTTTGACCTTGTGAACGGTAATTGTATGTAAACTTCATGGCCAATTCAGTAAATAAGTTTAACCAGTTTTATCAGCTAAAATGTTTCCAGTACAATACTGCTCTACCATATCTCAGACTTTACCATAATCCTAGCAGTGAATGCAGGAACAAAAAAATTCATAATTTAAATTATCACGTGTTAAAACGTGTAAACTGATATTCGCAAGGGACACGCACAGGATCATTTTACATCAAAACCGCATAATTTAAAACAAATTTGAAAACAGGATAAACTATCCTTCAACTGACCCGCATATGGGATTTTTTAGTGGCGAAGATCGGATTCAAGCTGATCCTTCAGCCCACCATGCATATGAGCACCCCATAAGAAACGGGATCAGATACTTAAGCAGAAGAAGAAATAGACGTAGACGTCGTCGTCGCAGACGTGTCAGTGTTGGACGTGGATAAATGTGCCACTTGATGTAAGTACTGCGTTTATCAAAGCCTGGTTTACACTTGTTTTAAGAACAGAAGATTCCCGCATCATTATAAGTTGATGATTATTGTCATCGAAGTACAAAAAGCCGCTTTGTCTGTCGGAAGAATTTCCGATTTTTGTGTGAACAAGTTTTGTAATTTCCCCCGAGGAATATATGTGCACATGCAGAAGTTACATGTTGCATTTCTTTCTTGTTCAGGATCCCGGATAAAAGACTGGACACACTGAAATGAATGGACAACATTAAAATGATAACTTTTTAAACTAGTGGCCATTCTTTCCAAAGTTAACTGTAGAATCATTGAAATCATGCATTGAAGATACTTGTGTTTTGTTTTTGTGTGTATGCGTGCGAGTGAATCAGTAAACATTTCTTTTATTTTTTTCATTCATTAATTATTTTAACTTCGCCAGTAACATGCATTCATGGCAGAGGTACCACAACAGTGCGACACCAATTATACTGTGGGTCCTATGAATTAATAAGATACTATAAGCAGGCGACCAAAGATTAAAACAATATCTAACACGAGTAAAACACGAGTCGTTTTAAATTGTTTTTCTCTCTTCATGCACAATAAAATTATGTTCCTGAAACATTCCGGTCCAGTCAACTATACTGCATGCACACGGGTGTAGACAGTGTTTTGTTAATAGTTTTGTTAACGCTGTTTCATGTGCCTGGATCAGCGTAAAATGTTTGCTAACACAGTTAACTGCACGTAGCCTCGTATCAGAAGTCATCCTCTAGATATTATATATTTGCACTGAATACAGTAGCTTAGTACAACACCTAAAAGGAACTGATACAATTTTAATAAGCTTTTGCACTAAGACGTCGTCGTTTTAGTCAGGAGAATTGAATTATTAACTGATATTGATGTTTTTACGATTTATCATGCAGTTGGTATTAAGACAGTGAAGTTGAAGTGCCGCAAAGTGTTTACGAAAGTCGGAGTGTACGCGTACTTAAAAACAATGCAAACTTAAGGAATGAACTAAGCCTTTTAAAAGAAAAAAGAAAGAATGCATGTGATTTGAGGAAAACTAAAAATTCATTCTGCTTCAGTGTTTTGCCAATTGTCAAGTTTGCCAACTATTGTTTATATAACTATTGATGTACGTCCTATGGCTATGGCAAATATTTCTATCATGTTATAGGCTTATAGCTGAAATTGTAGAACGTATATAAATACTTCAATCATAAACTCTTGTAATAAATTTCACAATTCTTGTACTAAACATTTAGATCGAAGAAAAGTATTACGCTAAGATTTCGTCAAGTCACCCTCGATACTAGTAAATATGTTGTTTGCTTAAAGCTAAACTTGCATGGCGTTGCATGACATTGGTTGTTATAGTGCATGAATGAGTTTTACTTACATGCATTCACTACTAATTATTAGTATACCTATCAGTGACTTGTTTAGTTTTATTTTAAGGATGGAATTTAAATATAAGAAGCTGGAACAGCATATTAAAGTAATGGTTCAAATAATGTGACCATTTATGTCATATGAATTATAATCGGGTTGGTTTAAACGAGAGTGCGGAAAAAAGTGAAAAAGGCAAAAGATTTGTTAATATAAGGTTAATAATTTAGGTTAGTTATATAACATAATTTAATTGTAAATTTGGTTGTGTTGAAAGTCACTCAAATTTTCCCCACTCGTGTGCGTGTCATTCGTGGATATCGTCACCTTGAGAACCCTCTCTTTCTCTAGCAATCTTCATATGTAATTTAATCTTTTTAAAAAAACTTTTTGTTTTTCAGAACCGAATATTTAGTACATTACAGTTTCCCTCCACTCTCAAACTGAACTCAGGACAAAAATTACAATTAATATTATTTAAAAACACTCGCTGTCATAATAAATATAAGCCTGCATGATCACATAAACATAGAAACGAACCCAATCAAGCTTAGTAAAGCTGAAAGTTTCAAGAGGAATCGTTGCTTGGTATTTTTCGACATTTTCTTATCTTTAAAAAATGCTGCACGTCTTCTTTACGTTTTGACAATTGCATATTTATTGCAATAATTTCATCAAATTCGCTTTATAGCTAACTTTGCAGTTTCTCAGCTGTGCAAACTTTGTTACCCTTTACTGTTTTCTTGCGTGCCTGAATCGGAAATTGTAATAGGGTGGTTGTATAGATATTGCCTGATTTTCAATGATACGGAAATGGCTCATGATAATGAAGATGAAAAGTACAAAGACTTTAGTGAGTGTAGGATAATGCTAATTTGCAGAATATTGCAGGTTCTGCATAAGTTAGCATAAACAGCGAGTATAAATTGACGAAAACCGTGGCCTAATTACCCAGTTCGGAAGTGAAAGCAGGAAAACAAGACAACGAAAAACTCACAAGAGAAATAAAAAGCTGAGATGAGGACATTGTATTTGTTACTTGCACTTGGTCTGTTGTGTGCAGTGGTATATTCAATACCAGTCGAAAATGATCAACCCTTGGAAAACGAGTTGAAAGAAGGTACCAATTTGCAAGCAAAGTGAGATATTAGTTATCATAAAATCAGATCTTCTTCATTCTGGAAGATATGGATTATGGACATTTAGAATGTTAACGAAGCTGTTCGACGAAGAAGGGCGTTCAATCGGGTTCGTTTGTTTTAAGGCTTGATTCACACTAGCTCCTAAGAATCGGGAATCCATTGTATTATTTTCCGACAGACAAAACATTTTGCGCCCCAGTGACCTCAGACAAAGGGAATCACAAATTCGCACGAGAGGTGTGAACCGGGTTTTAAAATTTAATGTTTAATGGCAAAAATGATATCATATTATTAGACTCTATAATACGAATATATACCCGACAAAAACGCTGAAGATTCAGAAGAGACCAAGGAGACTCAGAAGATAAGAAACGAGTTAGCTTACTGCTCAGACTTGAAGTAGTTCGTAAATAAATGTTGGAAATAAATGTTTACAAACTTTTGTAGAGAATGATGAAAATGGTTTGGAAGGAAACGATGAAGACGACGTCGTGTATGTTTTATAAATTTTCACTATAAACACCAGAACATCTTTGCTTTGGGTTTATTCATGAGAGGGTTATTTTATTAAAAAGGGGCTCGAGGTATGATTTATTGAAACTAAACAAGAAAATTTCGGAGGTCAAGATAAAATATACACACATGACGCAAAGATACATAAAAGCAGTGGCGTAGCCAGCCCGACGATTTTGTCCCGCTATGTAAATTTCGAGTTATTATAATTATTCATGTCTTTAGAAATCTATTGTTTTCACAGTCAGTGAAAACCAAAATATTAGCATAGCGGGACAAATCGACAGGCTGGCTACGCTACTGCATAAAAGGGAAAGAAAGGGAATTTCCATATTACAATAGACATAGTTTTGCTTATAGAAATACGCATGGTAGCATGATGCAAAGTGATCTTCCCCTTTTTTAAGAGTGAATGCAGGAACTAAAATTTGGTAATTTAAATTCTTACGTTCTTCGTTACGATTCCGGACAGAATTTCACGTGTGAAAATGTGTAAACTGATTGATATTCGCAAGAAACACGCACAGGATCATTTTACATCAAAAGTAGTCTATGCCGCTTCTTAAAATATATAAAAAATTAGGATAAGCTTCTTTCAACTGACCTGGTATATGGATTTTTTTAGTGGCGAAGTTCAGGCAGATCCTTTGGCCTACATTAGTTTTCAGCGCATGGGCAAACCGTTTCGCAGAAGACGTAGACGTAGAAGAAGACGTTCTTAACTTGGATAAATACCACGTGATGTAAGTACTGTTGTAAGCCTGGTTTACACTTGTTTTAAGAACAGAAGATTCCCACATCATCATGAGTTGATGATTATTGTCATTGAAGTAAAAAATAAGGCTTTGTCTGTCTGAAGAATTTTCGATTCTTGTGTGAGCAAATTTTTTTTAATATCTTGAGGAATATATGTGCACAGAAGTTACATGTTGCATTTCTTTCTTGTACAGGATCAGCAAAAGACTGGACACACTGAAATGAATGGACAACATTAAAATGATAACTTTTTAAATTAGTGGCCATTCTTTCCAAAGTGTAACTGCAGAATCATTAAAAATCATGCATTGACTATACTTGCGTTTGTGTTTTGTTTTTGTGTGTGCGTGTTAGTGAGTCATTTTTTTTATTTTTTCATTTATTTACTGCATGATTTATTTAACTTCGCCAGTAACATGCATTCATGGCAGGGTTAGCACAACAGTGCAACACCAATTACTGTGGGTCCTATAAATTAATGAGATATATAATACATGCTATATATAATTATGCACAATGCCCTTAAACGTGACCTCTTTGCTGGGATAGCCTAGCCTTTTGTGCATAAATTAATAGGGCATTGTCAGTGTTGAATCTATACTGTATAGTATTAATTAGTCGGAATAAATATTACATGGCCTAATTTCAAATTTAAGATATCAATGCAATGCTATTGGCTATGGATTTCCAAAGAATATTTTAAAGTAAAAATTTAGCAAAGCGATTACGATTTTAAACTGTTGTTAATCATTCTACCTCATCCTGGATCTGCCACTAGACGCATGTTATATAAATCTGGATACTTATTATTAAAAATGGATAAATCTGTAAAACTTCATTATTATTACTTCTCCCCTCGGAATTTTAAGGCTGGCGAAACGACGGTCTGTGTTCAGGCTATACTATAGCTTATGATAGATTAGGCTAATTTTCGCTTTCCCAACTCCCGAAACCGAGGACAGCTTAATAAGTGGGGAAAAGGGTGAATAGAAAAAATCAAAATAACATTGCTGAGGAAATAAACATCATTTTTATGTCCCCAAGGCAAATATCAGTTTTTGCATGTGGATTGTTTACAAGACACTTTTCTTTGTATACTATAAAAATTGTGACGAAAAACTGTAACGATCGAGTCTTTTTTAACTGTACTTATCTCAGAAACGTTAATTTCCTAACAGCGACGTAGCTGATACCTGCACCAGCATGCTTGTTTTTGAAAGTAGCCAAGCTGTTTTTTTTCATATTTTCAAACAGTAATTACGCGTCAATTGCATGAAAATGATGGTTCTGGGCAAACAAACAAACGACAGCTCAGACGCACTCTTGAAGTACTTCAATCCTTCCTTTGACGTCTAAACATGGGAGGTAATCAATGACTGCTAATGACCGAAATTTATATATATTAGAAATTTATAAGTATTTCATATTTACAATGTCCTATATTATTATGATATAGGTAGTTATTTTATTTTATTTTTATGAAACGCTGTGTTGTTTATTACCTTAGGTTTTACACAACAATTATCTTACGTCCTAATACTATCCCTTAACATAATCCAAATGCAGGTTTTGAAACATAATAAACTATAACGTAAGGCAATAGCGTTAGCCGTGGAGCGTAGGTAAAAGAGCCTGGCTTGCGAGGTTGAGGCAATATACGTTTTTTCAACTACTGCGGTTTTTAGAGGAAAGAAAGAGGAACAACCATAACAACCATTACGAGTTACCAAATACGAATTATCCTGTTAAAATGTAGCTACATTAGAAAATATTGATTTTTAAATAATTAGGGGAGTTCCAACATCCAACCTAACATTAATGGTGTGAGATATTTTATTTACACGTGATCAAACAGATGTATTGCTCGAGTTTCGATAGTTATCTTGCAGTAAAATTTTGCATGCAAGTAGGATTTCTTGGTTTTTCACTGATCTTCTTAATAACCACTTCCTCACGGATATTCCACACCTACCCTGTATGGCTATAGGACATGTTATGAAACATGAACAAACTATATTTCTGTTGAATATTATAGATAAAAATAACATGCACGTATTAAATCACAAGAAATAGGGCGATATAATTTCATAAAAGCTTTTGTATCAAGACTGACGTCTTTTTTCAGTCAGGGGAAACTGAATTATCAGCTGATATTGATGTTTTTACAAAGTTATCTGTCGGTATGAAGACAGCTGAAGTGCAGCAAAGTGTCACAAGAGTTGGAGTGTAGCTACTTAAAAACAATGCAAACTGCATGAGGAATGAAAATAGCTTTTTAACGATTAAATTATTGCAGATGTTGATATACTTTTGTATTTCGAAAACTCTTGTTTGATATATTGACAAAAAAAGAAAGATTGCATGTGACTTCTGGTGAAAAATGTGAATTTACTAATTGAATATCCTGAGGATATTGTGATGTTTTGATACCCGTAAAGTAATAATGCGTTTGACCATGCATGCATTATAATATTATGTACATCACAAGTACAAATTACAAGTACAAAATTATTTCACTCCAACAAAACTGCACGAGAAGTTTATTTCCCCCGCATCAGTATATTCGTGTAATTACGATAACTAAAACCCAGATTAAATTACATCGTATACATTTTAGAGAAAAAGCTACATGGAACATGATGCAACATAGAGCAACTAAAACGACTGAAAAAAGTTGAAAATGCCCTGAAAGATTTAGTGTGTAAGGTAGTACGCGATTTTTAACAAAATTTCAAAACCTTCGGTGACCTAAATGCGTGTACTGAAAAAGCGAGGATTGAATCGAGAGGTCTGGAAGTTACATGCATCAATCATCAATATTTCCTTACATGTTATTTATGATGCAATCTCTTTCCAGGCTATTTTTGGCTTATTCGGTTGGGTTAGCTCAGGGATAAACAAGGTTAGCTAAAGAGATTTGTTAAATATAGGGTAGTAATTTTGAAGACCCCCAAAATCTTTATTCATTTTTAGCGCGTGCATGTCTATATGCATAAGGTGCGTTTTCAATCACAAAATGCTTTTGCCGATCGACATCTTAATGAGATTTACCTGGAGAGTCAAAAGTGATCGTAAATAATATGACTAAAAATATACTAAAAAATATTTTATTTCATTCACGCAGGCTCACGAAACATATAGTAATTTTGAATAATTATTATGAGGAAATTTAACTGTAAATTTATTTGTGTGAAAGCCACTTTTTTTTCCCACTTGCGTGCGTGTCATAGTAGATATTGTCACACCTAGTGATTAAACTTCTTGTGGGTTTTGTTTTTCTTAACTGAATTTTGTAGTATGTTACAGCTGAAATATACTCAATCTGAAAGTTTCCAGTGCAAGGATGGAATCGTTGCTTTATATTTTTTGACGTTTGTTAATATTAAAAAAATGCTGCACTTGAAGTCGTCTTCACGTCTTTACACTTGTCAATTGCATGCTGATTGCAATAAGTCTATCAAGTAGGGAAAAAAAGTTTCCTTCGCTTTATAACTTTGCAGTTTCTCAGCCATATACAAAACTCTTCAGCCTTCATGCGTTTTGATGTTCCCGTTACGTTTTTGGTATAAAAATTGCGTCTGTTATCATTCTTAGCTATTTTTTTCCCGCTCCCAAGTTACAAGCCACAAGGAGAATTTCGTCCAAAGGCAAAGCGGACTGACGCGTTGGCAACAAGCTTGTTTTCGTCAAAGCGGGCTAATTGGGCAAACGTATATAACATATATACCATTTACAAATTAAGTAAGCAGGCTAGCTCGGTTTGCCCTGATTATAAATTTTATAATGTATCTTTGTGTGACTGAATCGGAAATTGTAATAAGGTGCTTGTATAGATATTGACTGGTGTTCAAGTGATACTGTGATATACGGAAGTGAAAGTGATGGCTCTTGATCATAAAGAACAAGAAGACTTTCGTGAGTGTAGCATAATGCTAATTTGCAGGAATATTGCTAAGTTAGCATAAATCAGCATAAACAGCGGGTATATAAGCTAGTCGAAAACCGCAGTTGTATAACAGAAGTTCTGCAGTGAGAAGAAAGAAGTTCAGAAGACAGAAACGAGAAACTCTCAAGCGGAATGAGGACATTGTATTTGTTACTTGCACTTGGTCTGTTGTGTGCAGTGGTATATTCAATACCAGTCGAAGATGATGAACCTTTGGAAAACGAGTTAAAAGAAGGTACTCAGTAATTTTCAAACAAAGTGAAATTTTATAGTTATCATAAAATCTTCAGATCTTCTTCATTCTGGAAGATATAAACATTTAGTTACAGCTTAGAATACTATAACGAAGCATAGCTCGACGGAGCGAGGCGTTCGAATCAATCGGGTTCGTTTGTTTCAAAATTGATTTTTGGCCAAATTAATATAATTATTAGCCTCTATAAAACGAATACCCGACCAAAACGTTGAAGATGATCAGAACCAACCAAGGTGACTCCAGGGCGAAATTGCTCAGACTTGGACTGCGTAGTTCGTAAATAAATGTTTACAAACTTTTGCAGAGAATGATGAAAATGCCCTGGAAGAAGACGATGATGAAAATGCCCTGGAAGAAGTCGATGAAGATGCCGGCGAGTATGTTTTATAAATCTCAGCTCTTAAACACACTACATCTTTGCTTTGGGTTATTTTAATGAAAAGTGGCTGGAGGTGGAACTAATTTGCTGAATAAGAATGTACTTTCACAATTAATTTTTTTGAACGCGAGTGCGTTTGTGAACGCGAGATATTTTAATTAAAAATGAGAGAATCATTTCAAGCCAGGTACTACGGTCTACGGAACAACACGAATTTATATCAAAACACACAAATATATGCCAAAACACTTCTTAACAGCGTTTCAATAATTTTAACAAACACGAATTTATTCGCGAACACAAATTTATCAGCCCAAATTTATCAAACTTTGACTTTGTGAACGGTAATTGTATGTTAACTTCATGGCCAATTTAGTAAAAAAATTTGACCAGTTTTATCAGCTAAAATGTATACCACAATCCTAGCAGTGAATGCGGCCGGGAACAAAAAAAAATCGTAATTTTATTAAATTGTCATGAAAGTGATATTTGCAAGGAACACGCACAGGATCATTTTACATCAAAACTAGTTTAAAACAAATTTAAAAACGGGATAAGCTATCCTTCAACTGACCCGGTTTATGGAATGTTTTAGTTGCGAAGGTCGGTTTCAAGCAGATCCCTGGTTCAGTTCCTTAGGCTATTTAGCGAGAAAATTTCGTAGACGTAGACGTCATCACAGACATGTACGTGGATAAATGTGCCACTTGATGTAAGTACTGCGTTTGCCAAAG